GCGGCGGGAGGAGCCCCCCTCGCCGAGTCCGGTTCTCCGGGGGAGGTCGGCGCTGAAGGCGGTTTAAAAAAACAAAATGCGAGGCAGACTTATGTTTTCCTTGTGAATCGTGACGTTCTTTGCTTTCTCCTACAGGAGTGAAGGTTTGTGCCCTTCGTGACCCGTGTGGGTGTGTGTGGGGGTGTACGCAGCTTTCCGTGGTTTTCTCCAGGAGAAGCCAGACTGAATCCTTCGTTGAGAAGTTTAAGATAAACACAGGCAGGGCAAAAAGAGGGGACAGGGTGGCAGTCGGGTCTCGGGTACCTTTCTTGTCACCAGCAGCTGCTCAGCAGTGTCCCTCTGAAATCCAAAAGCTTTTCAACGAGCTGTTTTTAACCCATTTCAAAAGCGGGCAACCGAAGAGCGAGCATCTTCAACCGCTATCTGTTGCTTGTAGTAACGCTCCCCGCGTAACTGCGGCCCCGGCAAAGGCTTCCCTCCCAGGTAGCCTGAACGCTGCCTGGGAGCTTCCTTCTGGAGGACACCATTCATCGTCAGTTAGCATTTCACGAAGGTTTTTGTCTCTGTTGCAATAATTATTTCACCATATTCTGGTTGCTGTAAATCCTGTGCTGCGGTGGCTGCCTACCTGTAACGCAGCGTGGTTCTGTTGCCCTTCCATATACCCAGGGAGTTGGAAAACCTTCTTGAGTTTCTACAGCCTGTAGTTTTTAAACTTGGGAATCTTGAAAACATAATTATGAAGAATCAGAAAGGAGAATAAATTTTTACTGCCTTACTATTTAAAATAATCTTATTTTAAATAATGGCTTTTCTTCAGACTTTCCTGAAAGTCTTCAGTCTTACTCAGAAAGTGTTGTAAGATTTCTTTTATCTTTTTTTTGTGTGTGTCTTGCAATAAAAAAAGGAAAAGAACTTCTCATAAATTTGAGCATCCCTACTTGTATGTTGGGGTTCATTTACTGTGAGATACATTGCAAATCATACAGTAAACAGGCTCCCACTGGCACAGCATTGTACACTGTACCTGTAGACATAAATCTTTAGGTGTGCTTTATGAGGCAAAAAGTGCATGATTACTTTCTAAGTAATTTATTATTGTAAGATCTTTATTTTTACATCATTTTCAAATTACTGGCTGTTAACTTGACAGAACTGGATAAATGGATGTGAGTTTTTAAAACTGCTTGTAATACTGGCACAATTGAATTAGGTGGTCAAACTTCATGTGCCTTCAGACAAGGAATTAGGATTTCACCCGTGTGTTCAGTAAAATCAAACCCATGATTCTGTAATGTTGTTACGCTTTCAAAATGCATTGGTCTGTGTATTCTCAAAAGCTTTGATTTTTATATGCTTACTTAAAAAACCCAAACAAACAAGACTGTTGTCTTCAGTAGAACGATTTACATGCTTAACCAATATGCATTTTCCTAAGGATTTTCCTGTCTAAGTGCTTCCATTCTGGGCTTCAGTCCCGATGGCAATTCACAGACCAGTCCAAATACCTTCGTACATGGATGATTTGCTAGGAGAATGAGTCAATTAATTATTGACTATGCATAGGTATTTCTTAGGTAAGCTTTAATGATCTACTTCCTTTTTGTTGTTTGGATGTTTCCACCCATTTACTGTACATGGTGAGCTGTGGGCATATTGGTATTCCCTGAGTCTACTTGTCTGCCTAAACTAAAACGATTGAAATTTCTTGTGGAATGAGGGCCAGTAAACTGTTCTATAACGCTGCCTTTCTTACAAAAAGAGAGCAAGTATTTTGGGTAGAATTTGTCTGAATGTGACATCTTGAGTTAAAGCATCCCACTGTCATTATTATCCCTGTAATCAAAATGAGGAAGATGAGGAAAACTGTCATATGGCCATATTTCCCTGTTAACAATGGTGAGACAAGTAAGAAGAATTGAGATTAATCACATTTAAACAAGCAAATTAGTATGTATTAGATTGTATGTGCGTACTAATTTCCTGCAAATCTTACTGTTTTGTTTAACCAAACAAGACTACTGTAAACATTCAGTTTGGACAGGGGGCTACTCTTACATTGTGAATGCCTGATAAGTTAACTTATATGAAAGATAGATAATGTTTTCTTTCATCACAGCCATAGCAGTAAATTTGTCCACCCTTCCTCACAGAGTAAGGCCAACTTCTGAAGTAAAAGTACTGAGGGAGTAGTTGACTACTGCATTTGAGTAAAACTGACAACTTCTTGCTGTATGATTTTTTTGTTAAGGATTGTGTAAGAAATTGTAAAAATATTTAAGAGCAGTAGCAGTAAATATTTCGGAATATTACTATTACACCTCTTAGGAACAAATGTTTTATGTATTGTTTGTGTTGTAATTTATATTGTTTGTGTAAAATGATGGTTTCTTGAAAAAAAAGCAGATTATTTCATTATGTTAATTATTTTTATCATATTAGCTTGTACCTGCTGATTATCCGTCTTTTCTTATTCCAGGTGTGTAGTGGCATAGAACTGGGAGCACGCTACAGGCTTTCCGTATTTGTAACAGCTTGATAGCAACCCTGCCACCTCTATTAAGTGTAACATACAAAATTTTTTTTAAAGCTGTTTCTGGCTGACGTTGCACCCTTTTCACTAATCTCAGTTTGCTCCGTGCTCTGTTTTGTGGATCAGGAAAAAAAGGACCATATGCTACTTCTCTCATAAGCAAAAAATATTAACATTCTTGATTCTTAAAATAATTTTCTCTTCTTATTACATTATAGAATCTTAGATTTATCAATCTGCTGAGATGCATGAAGAAAAATTTTACCGCAGCTTTTCAGTTGTCTATTACGAAGCCCGGTGTTTAGCTTTCAGTCATCCACTGTCCTCTCTGCAGATTAACAGCACCCTTCTTTAACTATGTCAGACAAAATTGGACATACAATTGCAATAGTACCCAACTCACGGTACTGGAATGCAAAAGTGATCTTAGAATACTGTAACAATGTATTCTGGGGAACTTCGTCTGCTACTAAAATTGAGATAATTATAACTTTTTAGTATCACATTTTCTGTTTATGCGTTGTGACACTTTGAACCAAATGGAGCACTTGTGAATTTGGTGAGACCTGCTGTCAGGATCTTAGGAAATTTGGTATAAAATTACTTTAATAAGCAACATTTCTACTAATTGAAAGGGTTGGGGTTTTTTTTTCAGATCAAGTGCAGTCTCCTGTGTATCTTCTCTGAAGGCTCTTCGGTGTTTGAAACTTAAATCTCAGTGACTTAGTTTAAAATTTGTTCTATTTGCATGCTTCACTTTTTATCATTTACATTTATCATACGTATCTTTTCAGCTACCAGCTTTGACACTCAGTCTGCTCAGCATTGCCAGCCAAATACAGCAAGATTGCTCATGGGTTTGGAAATGAATCATACAAGTGGCTGCAGAATTGAAAACTCTCTCAGATCTGCTGAATACCAGAATGAGGAACTATACATGCACATCTCTTAAACACAAGATAATCTTTCTCACTGTTTTGATGTACGCCTTTTGTAAATGCAGAAGATCAGAGCAGTTAAGGTATTTAAACTAGCCAGGATCCTTTTAAGTGACACTGATTTGATTGTGAATGTGACTTACTGCAGTTGCATTTCATTGCAATAGGTACTATTGCATGTATTCCTAACCTTGAGTGAAAGTGCTTGCCTGTCTTCTGGTATGTTTTAAATGCCTCAGTTTCAATTCAAGTCGCTTTTGTGTCAGAAGGTGGAGTGATGTATGTGGACATCTCTGAGGGCATGTTTTTGACTAGCGAGTTAAAAATGCTGGTTAGCTGTTAAGCAAACTTTGTATTGTGCTGCAATTATGTTGTTGTTGTTTGCTTTGTTATTAAATTATATGTCACTTTGTGATGGGCAGTGGGTGATTGAAATCATTCCCTGTAGCTTTATGGCCCTAATTACCAACAAAAATGCTCATGAGACCTATTTAAATTACCTCTTGGAACCAGTGTTCATGCTCATTCCAAGTGATGCGCATCAGTCCTTTGGATTCAATTAAACATGGGATGGCACTCGGCTGGATTAATTTCAGGTGTTTACTCCTAGTTATAGTCCATTCTGACAGATGTATGCAGATGCAGACTCTGAACATGAGAAGAGGGTTCTGTCGCCACGTTATACAGGGGCAAAACTCGGATTTCACTGGGGCAATGAATTGGTTTCACGCCGATGGGAAGAATCATGGCTTTTCCTCCCGAGTTCGCTTTACTAACACTCCTGTATACTTTTGTGACTGATATGAATCTATGCATAGTAACAGTACTAAGCAAACTTCAGGATACAAAATATCATCAATTGTGCAGTCACGTAAAGGTGTTTGCAGGCGTCTCTGGTGTTTTTTTCCACTGCAGAGTTAAGACTTGACGGAGAGAATTTTGCCTCATAGTGGATTGAACATAGATACTGGTATCAACAGGCAAAGTTAAATTTTAAATTAGAAGAATGGATGGATTACTACCAAATACTTCCTGTAGGTCTTTATAAAAACCTATGCACTGTATTGGTCTGTGTAAGCACAAAGAAGCCCTATATACATGTGAACACCTCAAAAGCTCTTTCTTAAATTATGGACACAAGAAATTGGGCAAGAGAGTATTTCTGTTGTGGCCACAAACGGGTTAAAATCAGGTAATAACTTCCCTCTAGTACCTGTTTGGGGTTTTTTTATGGAATAGAAGGGAAGCCCTTGTTCCTTTAGGACGTGGCTGTATGAGGAAGTTAGATCTACCAGCAAATTGAAAAATACTTTCTTTTGCAGCACGAATTCCCCTTCTTGTGAATTTAGCCCGTGTTCCTGTTTGCATAGGTGTGAGCATGTATTTGTACACATTTTGTTTGTATACTTGCATGTTAATACACATTTTATTTTCTTTAGTCAACTAAAGGGTTAATCCCAGCTGCTGTCTGTCAGTGAATCATTGTCTGTGTCATTAGCAAACTATCAGTAATTATGTCACATTATCTTTAAGGTCACTGACAAAAATGTTAAGTAGCAATGCCCAAAATGTCAGACCCATGACATGTACTAGATACTCAGCAATGATTCCCTATTGAGTTACAGTACGATCACTTCAGGGCCTACACACAAATCTCGCAACCAGAGGCTTAGGTGCTTCCATGACTCCTGTGAAACCAGCCAGCAAAGCTGTTTTTACAATTTCTCCTGCTTGAATCTTGTCCAAACAGATTCTCAAAGCGGTGGTTTGGGTTGTTTGGGGTTTTTTTTGCATTGCCCTTTTGAGTACTGGTAATTGAATCAGCTGAACCTGTTAACGTCTTTTCTGAGAAAGAACTGCTGTCCATTGCTTGAATTAATTTATTGCTGTCTTAGAGCTAGCAGTGTAACAGACAGATACATGATATTCACAAAATCTTATCAGCAGCTCCCATACCCTTCATACTCACAACTGAGCATGAGTCAGGACAGATTAAATAACTTTTCCAGCTCACACAAGAAGTATGTGGCTGGCCTGGGAAATAAACCTTACTCTGCGCGTTAAACTGAATCTGTCTGTCATTCCCTTACATAATAAATATTATTTATTAGGTAATGGAATTACTATCTATTCAGGCAGCACCTGTGAATTTTCCCTGCATGGTATGTAACGCAGTCCACTCATGATACCTTTTTTTTCTGCCAAGCGTAGGAAATACAGAAACTGTGATGGAGATTTTACTTGACGGTTGTTTACGTTGAAAAACCCCATGCTGACCACCCCTGCTACCATCTTAACAATTAGCACAGCCTCAGGTCACGGTCAGCGGATGAAGACACTTAAGCGATGTTGCACTTCTGATGAGAATTTACGGCGATCTTCATGTCCGTTAATAGGAATTTTGGTTTAGAAATAAAGGCATAGATGTGTAGAAGCAAAGGAATTGTTTAGGCAGTGTTGTTTGATCCAGAGCTCTTGCAGTGGAGAGTGGATTCAGCTGCACCCTCAGGAGAAGTCTTTTCCCGAGTATCTCATTCTGACTGCAGGATGCATAACGTAAAAATGCCTGTCAAGAACGTCAGAAATACGCGTCGTGCTGCAGTCTGTTTATTTTGCTGCTCTCTCATCTATTTGCCAAAAACCTCCCTACATCTTTTTAATCATTTCCTTTTTATCTCTTCTTCAGCTTGTATGAAAATTATGGAAATATTTTCAGAGATCTAGTAACCTACAGACAATCTACTAATCACAAAGCAACACCAGAGAGGAAAAGGGTGTTCCCCTGTGTAAAAATAATTCTTTTTGGCTGCTGCAGCAGAGAGAAGACGCTGGATGCTTTCCCCAGGCTCTGGTGAATCCTTCTTTAAGATAATCGTTCCAGATTGCAGCCCTGGGGCTGCTGAGCGATACTATTACTACAGGAGAGTTTCCATCTACTGAATAGATGTTAGGTCCTTTGCATTAGGGGTGGCCTCTGTCTACATAGCCAGCACTGCAGTAATATCTATAAAATACAGAAAACATCTATAAAAATAGATATACTCACTATACTCACATAAGTCACATGGAGGCCAGCACACTAGTTAGGTATTCTTTTCTCACACTGCCACGGCTACAGTGCCGGCGTGACCAACTTAATTTGTAGCTAACTCAGACCAGCCTAGAAAAGATTCAGTATGGCCATGTACTTCTGAGAGCCTCCAGCACAACTGTTCGCAAAGATAACTGAAGTGTGACCACTCAGTTATTTTACAGGCAGTTCTTTCTATAAACCGTAAGGATTAGAGATTTCTTATGGAAGAGATCTTGATGAAGAGCTCTTTGGTGTAGAGACCTTGATTTACCTTATATGTTGCGCTGATCTTTGCTGCGTTATTAAGATTATAGACCTCTTCCTATTTCATTCAAAGGACTTTGCTCTTGATATAAATATTTGTATGGCTGCATGTGTGGCTGCGTTTATAAGCAGCAGTCTGAAAGAAATTTTGTTACTCAGGTTGGGTCAAAACAGATAAACAGAATGAGCATACTTCTCTCAGAATTTGGAAGACATCCAAAGAAATCCAATCGTAAAGAGCCAAATGCTTTCCTTCGTAATAAAATGACTATACAGCTCACCTCCACATGTGAATACGTATTCCCAATAAAGCAGATACATACCACAGTGTGTATCTCTGTCCTGGGTCATGCGCAAGCAGGTATGTCCATATCTAAGGATGCATACCTGCGGCAATTTCGTAGTTATTACTGACATTTTGGGAGCATTTCTAGAAGTTGTATTCAGTATTTCACAAATGGGAGTCCCTTTCTGGAGCCTGCTCCCAGGGCACGGTGGATGAGCTTGTCCGCCTCCTCGCGCCGGTGCGTGGATGTGCTCTTGGCTGACCGCTGGCTGGAGCGCAGGGAATTTCAGGTCTGAACACTCGCTCTTCCAGCTGAGAGCCAAGCCCTGGCGCTACTGAATGGATCATTAGGTAGGACGTGTAAAAAGCTCATGTGAAACTTGTTCAGCCAGTCTGAGGCCTTATTTCCCTTTGGCAGCATGATCATCAGTAGATTCCTATGGTTGTTTATTTCTAGGGGCCTTACTTCCCTGCTCCAGTCTTAACTAACAAAACCCCCACCATGATCTAAGATTTGATAAACAATTTAATTATAAAATTAGCGGTTAACATGCACTAAGTATTGACAAATTCTTTACCAAATGCCTGTGCTCCTGGCCAGCTCAGTGCACTTCAGTATGGGGGATACAAATGTCTGGTGGGCTTGAATGTCTTATTTTGGTGGAGGCAGGATCATAGAAAGCCAGGACCAGCCTCACTGACAGAGTTACAGCTGGGTTTCAAAGAACTTGGCACTTCTTTTTTTTTTCCCCTTCAGGACATTTGGAGCCTTCCTTTGTAAACTCGTTCCTCGACATTATTAACACATCTACTGCTCTCACGACATTTTCCAATACTTGGACACACAAACTGCAGTTTTCTAGATAATGACTAGGTGAGGACTCATGTCAAAAAATAGTATGGCTCTTTGTCCTGGTTTCGGCAGGGATAGAGTTAATTTCCTTCTTAGTAGCTGGTACAGTGCTGTGTTTTGGATTTAGGGTGAGAACAATGTTGATAACACACTGATGTTTTAGTTGTTGCTAAGCAGTGCTTACACTAGTCAAGGACTTTTCAGCTTCCCATGCTCTACCGACTGAGAAGGCTGGAGGTGCACAAGAAGCTGGGAGGGGGCACAGCCAGGACAGCTGACCCCAACTGCCCAAAGGGATATTC